AGGCCCCTGAAAAAAGAACAGCAGTAGTCTTAGCATCTTTCCAACCCCCATGTTAGCTACAAATCTTCAGTGATGCTACAGTGTTCTGCAGTTTGCCAAAACCAATATTCAGATTTCATAACATTTACAAATCAAATTTCAAATTAAATTTTATTTACTCTTGGAGTTTGGACTTTGGGTTGCAAAGTGTAAAATACTTTCTTGGGAGAGTATACATTTTCCCCTGGAAATCAAACAGGACCAGGGTGCCTCATTCTTTTCAACTTTTCGGAAAATCTGAACTCTGATGAATTAAATGTTTTATTGGACTTTCAAGCTAGGTAAGATGCTGTGCTAGCAGTTAGTGCTAGCTAAAGAAACAGGATTACATAGGATTAACCCTTTGGAAACTTAGAACACAAAGTTCATTTAATTAAAATAATCTTCCTAAGCATTCAGTGGCTGAGAGGTTGAAAAAATGTCAGCTTGAGTTTGGCTGTAATTCTAGGATGGAATAAAAGGTTTTGTCCTATTTTCAGGCTTGAATCAACTTGGAGAGGGCATATCAGCAAACAAAGCCACAAAAGAATGTTCTCTTACTAAGACAACCTAGTCACAACAGCTTTTTCTCTTTGTCACTTAGTCTTGATGATTTCCAAATCTTTAGATACAGCTCTATCTTTGTTAGGAAACTCCTTTTCCAAAGATTTAGTCTTACTGATTTTAATTTTTAATATTTATTACAAATTCAGTGACCTGAAGCATCCTGAAAGTCGATGTGCATGTACATTGGATATGATTGATTAATGTATTTTAGTGTCTCTTCTGTGCCTTCCCCAATGAAAATGCTGCTTTATATACCAGTATCTAGGCCTGATGGGATTCAGGTTGCTGGGTTTGACCTTGGCTTACTGCATTCCTTCTGCTGTCCAAAATCTCAGTTTGGTTTATGGTTTATGTATTTTCTGAGCATCTGTGTTGCCATAGCTAGCATGTGAGCCACTCAGAAAATGAACCAGTTCATTTTAGTATTCATCTCTTACCCAGCCTGCACAGAATTGGAAAAAAACTGTGAAACCAGTGTGAGCTACTCAGGTAAACAACTACATGGGGTTTACTGCTAGGGTCTAGGATCCTCTCTGGGATCTACTTAGGGACTGGTTCCTTTAAGCATATGAGACATGCCACTGTCAGATTTTATGATGGCAGCCTCGTTTGGAAATTGTGGAGTAAAGAAGTTGCTTTATTTGTCTGGTTTTATAGCTGTTGTTCTAAGGAAAAGCCCATTCCTATGTATTCTCTGCCTGAACAGTTCCTTGCTCTCCATGGCCATGGGGTGGATAGGAAATGGATTTGCTTCAGTGTGAGCAGAGGAACTTACTGTTTTCTGTTTGCCTTATTTCAGACCAAGGTTGGTGGGACAAGCCACACAGGAGGCAGTTTTGAAGAAGTTCTCAGCTCTACAGCCCATGCCAGTGCTCAGAGCTCCCTTGCTGGCACCCGACTCCCTGAAAGTGAGGAAGAGCTTCAGTGTTAAACAGCAGCTTCACATGCCTCTCTTCAGAGACTTGCCCAGACAGTGATTTTCAGCCCTCCCTCACCACACAATTTGTGCAACAAGGTTTTGTCAGCTTTGGAAAATTGCTGTCCTGGCCTTGTGTTGGAGAAATGTTTCCTCTCCTTATTTCTATTTTAGATGGGCCATTTTATCAGTAGGTACTTTGTACATCATCAAAACCACACGCAAGTCATTGGCTATAATGCACTAAATTATGTGTTAAGTGACTAAATAGTTTTCAGTTACATGTAACTTCCCTCTAACAATCTCCCAGCCTCTGTTTCTTATTTATTTTGGTTTACTCTTTTCTATCTGCTGGTTTCTGGCTTCCCTCTCAGTGCCACATCAGACAGATGGACCTAGAGCTGTGCAAAGCATTCAACTGCCAGCAGTAGCCCATACACCAGCTGTCTACCATCCATACCAGGTGCCCTTTGCTCAGGAGTGCCTGTATATCATCTATTTCCTAACAGAATTAAAATCACTTACTGTCACAAAAAGCTGTTTCTCCTTCAGTGGTACAGTCTGGCATTGCCCTATACCCATTAGGCAGCAGAGTTAAGGAGGGCCAAAGGAGACACCTGGTTATTCATTCAGAAACAACCTATCACAGCTGCTGATGTCAGATGGTCATTTTGGCTGGAAAAGTTTCAGCTTCAAAATGTGCACCATTGCTTGCTCTCTTTGGTTTGGTAAGACTTGGCAGTGATATTAATTAGAAAATCACGTGGAGTGGAGGGAACCTCTAATATTTTTGCCTCTGTATCTTCCCCTCAAAACCAAGGGAAGGTACATTTATGAGCCTCTGTCAAGATACAGCCTTAAGTGAAAGAATACAAACCCAACATTTGGCTTCAGATGTGCCACAGGTTAGAGAGCCCATGCCTTCAGAGCTGCTAGTGTAGACCCTGTTACCTGACAATGCACAGGATGAGTAAGAACTTCACTTTTGGTGTCAAACTTTGTTGTGCTTCGCTCCAGGATGTAACTCCATCAACCGCATTATCTCTGCTCAATCACCAAGAGGCAGACATCTCTCAGCTTTGATTCAGCATGTTTTCTGAATTGCATTCTTCTAATGTTTTCTAAGGAAAGAGCAGCACATTTGTGACACTATCTTGCTGTGTCGTGAGCGCGTGTCAGTCCGCATGTTGTCACTCAGCTCACCACACAGTGAGGTGGGCACAACAGTAAACAGGATGGAAAAGAGCCTGGCTACTTTGAAAATGGATGCAGTTTTTGAGCATAGGCCAAAGCTTCAGATCCGTGTTAGCGAGTTTGACATTACAGACTGCTTAAAATTTTGTGAGAAAACGTGGCTTTAAGTGATTTTGTTTTTTCTTGTGTGGCTTTTGTTAGTTTTAACAAAGTTGAAAGTCCTTTTGTAATGTTCTACTGGACATAAGTTAACTTTGGACATTTATATCACATGCCTGTGTGATTTTTAGCATGGAAGCAAATCTAATCATTTTTCTAGTATTCTTGTGACAATTTTCTAGCTTATTTTATGTGGTTTTGTGCATAAATGTGAATTTATTTAATTAAAAATGGAAGATATTGACAACTTAGTTTGTGTAAATGAAGTTCTTGATATTCTTATTAAAAATAAAATTCTCTCTTACTCTTTTACCCTTTGTGATGTTTTAATTGTTTACCACTAGTACTGAGCAACCTAGTGGAAGGCGCCCCTGCCACTGGCAAGGGAATTTGAGCTAGATGATCTTTAAGGTCCCTTCCAACTCAAACCACTATGATCACTGTACATGGGGTTCCACGATCTGTCCCCTCAATCCCCTGCAGAATGGAGAAGCCTCCTGCTGCGCTGCAGGAATGAACTGTTCCTGCTTAGGGTAGAATTTGTGCTGGGTGTGTTTCTACCAAACATCTCTTCAAGGCCACTTTTCTGGTTTGCTAGGAATGTTCTCAGTTCTGCCCTTCCACGCATCTGTAGCTCTTTCACACTCAGCATTCAATGCAAACTGATGGAGACTATAATTTGTGTGCACCTAGGTGGAATAAAAACACTGACAAAAGCTCGGTGGGCCCTGCTCCATCCCCCTCTGCAGTATGACAATCTGTTGCCAAGAACCACTCAGCAGCTCAGCAAAGTGCAACCTGTTCTTCCAGGGCTGCCACAGAGCATGACTGCTGCCCTGGGGGGTTCCTGAGCAGAGCAGGCATCTTGCATCTCCTCTCAGCCAGACCAATACGCTCTGCAGATTTTGTGCACTGTGCCAGCCACTGAGGCAAGAAGTTCCCAGCATCTCTGCACAGCACTTTGTGCTCCAGGAAAGTCACCAGCCTCAGAACGCTTTGTGAGTGTCAGTCAGACCCCTAAGGCTTGCATAAAGAAAGCATTTCCTGAGCATGGTGCCTAAAAACGTGTGTTCAGATACATTATCTGCCTTTAAAGGGTATGACAATTCAGTTTTACTGCATTTGACATGATGCAGAAGACAGAGAACTTCGGGTCTCTGACATGTAATTTTTCCAGGTGCAAATTTTGCTTATTTGGAAACCATGGGTTAATTAATTAAAGGGTAATCGTGGCATTGCCCTTATCTCCAGCTGCACAAAACTCAGCAGTTGGGCCTGACACTTGCAGACACTGGCCTCATTATGGCATCTACCACCACGACAGCTTTTCTTCACAATCATTCTGTACTTCTACATTAGTGTCTACTTCTGCCACAACTCATTTATGGCAGAACTGGTACCAGCGTGTGACAGCCTGAAGAAGGGAGCCAGCTTTACATGGCTGTACAGGCTTCTGCATTAGATTGCACAAACTCCAAAGGTCCATCCAACCCCAGGTATTCTGTGATTATCAATTACTTGTGAAGGAGTCTGTAAAGCTGCTAGTCTGGGAGGAAGGGAGTCAGGAATATAGACTTTATGGAAATACTGGCACCATTCCCTGATACAACACATGAACAGGGGAAAAGGTGTATGGAACAAAGAAGATACTGACACAATGTAATTAATGAGATTACCAGTTTTGTGAATCACTTAAGGCTTAGGCACTCCAAAGAAATCTCTAAGGTCAGTCAAGAGCTTCTACAGACACATGCTCATTGGTCTCGTTTCTGTGTAGCACCAAGTGAATATTAACCCATTTTGAAGGCACTTCAATCCATACATTTTTAGAAATTCACAGAACAAGACCACCAGCCCCACAGAGTGCATACGTGAACAGATTAGATTGCAATCAACTAATTTTTAAATGTACCTAAATTTCCCCAGTGGAGAATCTATTTGTAACTGAGACTGCATTAATCAGAGGCTAATTAAAAAGAAGGAAAACCCCAAATATACTAATTCTTTGTTCCCTGACACAACCTGAGAGGCAAGTACACCACCTGCTCCTCTCTAAATGGTCCTGGGATTCTCAGCAGTGAATGCACAGGAAAAAAATCTGCCAGCAGAATCAGTGATGTTAGAGAAGAAAAAATAATGACCAGAATATAAATCAAAGTATTTATTATGGCTGCAGCATTTAGGAACACCTCAGGAAGGCGGGTGAGATGTGGCAGCTATTCTTTTTTTCCTTTCTGTGTTAATCAGAGATACAAGCTGGAGTATTTCTGGGTGAACAAACTTCCCTGCAAAACAAAAGAAAGGGAAGGTTAATGAAAAATGCTCTCATTTTGCCATGTGTGAAAGGCAGAGTTGTCATTTTAGGCTCAGATTATTCTGAGCCTAAATCAAATTATTCTTTTAAGAAAGTTTTATATTTATATTTTTATATAAATAATTTTAAGTCAAATTATTCTTTTAAGAAAGCGAATGCTCCCAGTTCAATCCATCTATGGAGTAAGTGTAGTTACACCCCTTCTTCACAAAAAGCTTGTATTTTGTGCCCTATTAAGACACTTAAGAGCTGAAAAAGGGATGCACCCTGACCAAAATAATCTGATACTATGTACTGTACTACAGGAAACAACTGCAATTGCAACTGCATTTAAGCTATGTGCTGTAGGTTCTACTCAGACACCAGCCCAATTTAAGTTGTTGAATTCTGGTAGGGGAGCAAAGATGTCAGTTAGAAAATAAAGCATTATGAGCTTCATTCATGTTGTCCTTTTTTTATTCTTCACTAATCAAAGTCTTATATTTTCCAGAGAGATTATTATTTCCTTGGGGAGTCATCCAAGTATAAATAAGACTTGTCAGGGACTCTGGTAACTGCTGATCCTCTTATCCCTAGAGTTTGTCTATCCCTAGTGTTTTTCCCAGGACAGGATGAGTTAGTTACAGTCCTCCACTGGTGTTCAACTACCCCACCTAAATGATAGAGATTATTTTTTTACCTATCTCTGCTTTCAACTACCAGTGGATTTTGCAAAGGATGAAAAGCAGTGGATAGAATGAAAATAATCACAGTTGCAACTTAATAATTCCACTGAAGTTGTTCTCACAGGAACCTCGGACAGGTCACTCAGCTCACTTGGGGATAACAAATTCTACTTCACTGGTTCCAGCAACACTGACAGAGTACAAACAAGCTGCTGTCAGAGCATCGCTGAACACCGAAGACTCCTTTATGAAGACTCTGATGTTTCAGGGAGATCCTTACACACATGCAAGTGCAATGAAAGCTGAGCCTCTCTCTAAGGTAAGAAGTGATGTAGAAGGAATTTAGCATTAATGAAACTCAGGTTTAATACCTAGAGATAAATGTCAGGTATTTTCACATTGCATTAAGTTTCCCCAGAAATATTAGGGGACTTGAGCAAGAAGTAAAATAACTAGTTCTCACTTTCTCTGAATGTCTGTCAGAATAAAAAGGCAATTTATATATTTCATTTATGAAAGAGATAAAAAGAAAAGCCTAAATATCATACCAGCAGTTGAATCAAAAAAATCCTGCAGTCTGCCAGGTGTGTTTTCCAACTCTTCGTACTCATATGCTTGCAGGATCATCTCACACTGATCCAACTGCTTTACAAACTTGGCCTCTGCAGTAGACTGGTTTTCATATTCCTGAAAAGATTTGCAGTTATAAGAAAATAATTTTGCTACTCTGAAACAGAACATTAAAATCTCTCTATATATCTAGAATTTTCTTCCTTAGTACAAGCCAGTCCAGAAATATTCAGCACAACTGCATCTTTCACTTAGTTTTTACAAACACAACAGTGGTCAGCAAAACACTTGAAATATGTGCCGATTTTGCAATAAATGCAGTGGGACATAAAATACAATCTTTTGCATAATCTAACTCTAAACATACCAATTGTTTTGGCTGAATCGGGGATGATATGGAGGCAACTCTGAATGACATACAAGTTAAACAATAGGTTTGATTTAACAGTATTTTACGTATAAAGATCATTTTGGGCCTGCCTAAGGCTATGAATTACCACACCGTGTGCCTATGCACTGTCACCACCTATTTTTAAGGCCTATTTTGCACTTTTCTCACCACCTGCTGTTTCTATATGGAGTTGTTCTTTATATTTCTCTTGTCATTCCTGCCTAATCTTTTTGGTCTAATCTGTCTGAGCTGCTTATGTCCTTATGTCTCTCCTAGGAGATAGGAAGGGGGTTAAGGGGTTTCCTCCCCTTCAGAATTTAAGTCCTTTAATCTCTCTGCTATCTTTTTCCTCTCATCATCAGTATATATTTATGAGTTATTCACATTTCTAGACAACTTGAACAATTTTGCTGTCATTTGTTTCCAGTGATGGCTGCAGACAGGTTTGGCACTGCATTTTCTCTTTTCCAAATCTACTGCATTGTCTGTGGTCTCATGAGTAGGTCTTCCTGACTCTCCTGACTTCCAAAACCAACCCCATAAAAAGGGGTTTTCTTCTGTGCAGGTTATCATTACCTTGATACTGTTGGCAGGTCTGACCCTATTCATCATGCCCATCACCATTAATCACACCAAAGTACACACTGGGCCCATCTGTGCTCCCAGATCCACAGAACCTGTGGATCATAGTATTTCCACGTAGAAGAGCAGAATGAGTGCAGGAAGAGGTTTGCCTACTGACCACAGAATCTGGCATTCTTTTCTGTATCTTAAAACAATAACTGTGGTGTGAGTGTCATTCACAGTAAGCAAGATCCAGGCTTTGTAATTCCAGCACACTGATGTTCGCATAAGTGTGACAGTCATTTCCTTGTCTTGCATACTATTAGGAGTCTGTTCTTAGGCTTATTACTTTATCTTTGAAGTCAGAAACCCAGATTTTGATAGGCATGATTGATTGGCTTACTATTCCACTATTAGATTTCAATGGTACTTTGAATTTTCAGTTACATCTTCATCATTATTTTAGTAATAAATTTCATTTCAGTGTTTTTATCTTGTTTTTTACTTTTCAACTTGAGCTTTGCCTCATTTTTAAATTAAGTACTACTTATTTTCTTAAATCTATTTACTTCTGGTTTATTTTCTTGCAATCTATTTTGCAGGGGGGAGGGTCCTTCAAAGACAACAAACTCTTGGCAGCATTACAGAGGAGAACTTCAGGAAAAGGAAAAGGTTCACCTGTAAAAGTTGGTCCCACCTCCAACGATTAGGTGGGAGTATCAACCTGTTGCAAACTTCTTTGTGCTACAGAGCCCACCAGATGTTATTCACACCTCAGCTCACACTGCCCTCAAGAAACATCAGCTATGACATGTGCAACTGTGCACAGTGCTGAAACAAACACTTACTGCTTCCTCCCCGCAGGTGGTCAAGACTCTGAAATAACAGTGTACTTTGGAAAAACACTAACTGGTCTCTCCAACACCACAGGCCATCTTTTAAAAATCATCCCCATGCTTTTGCACTTGAGAATAAAAACGCAGGACAGAGCTGAAATGTGTTGACTCATTTACTGTTTTTTCAAACGTATTTTGGATTAAGTTATAAAGTGAAAATATATCTGAGGCATCTTTCTGCTGCCTCTCTCCCCTACACTCACCAAGTACCCACCACCACCATCCAAAGCAGCAGTCCTTGGAAAGCTGAAAGGCAAAGGGAGACAGAGACAAGGGCAGGGCAGTGCAGGAAGGACTTGCTAAGAGTGTCGAGAGATCTTGTCCTGCTCAGCAGTGTTCAGCTCTGGTCCATGATCACCTTCACTCAAAAAAAAAATCATAGGGAAATGTCTCTGGCTTGCCAAGAGCAGAGCACAGAGCACAGAACACCAAGTTATCCCTCTGTTTTATTTCTTAAGGAGCAACTAGTTGTTCCACTTAACACTAGAGGGACCACATGTGAGTAGTAGATTTTTAGGGTACCCTCTCTGCCACGTGGGTTGCACTCATGCTAATGAATTGCAGACACAGTGCCAATAAATAATCCTGAAGGTAGAAACAAAGTCCAAATTATCAAAACTGTGCAAATATTAAATTATGGTTAATGAGAATGATGAAAACCTAACAAGCTTTCAGCATACTGAACCAGCTCTTACAGTGTCACAGGAGAAGACTGAGACCAACAAAAAAAAAGACCCAATTATAGAGAACAAACCTTATCTATCAAAACCTCATTTTCCTCAATTGTAACAGTTTCTCAAGGGAGAAGGAACTAGTGCTCCCTAAAATATACACATATTATTTCCCATATCTGATGATGTTGGTTTACCCCCTTTACCTTAAAATCCAGCTCTGAGTGCCCATTCCCACTGCCTGTTCAACCACACAACTACAACAGGGAAAAAACAAACAAACAAACAAACAAAAATAACCCTAAACCAAAAGCAAAACCACAAACAGGGTGTTGTAGCAAAAGGCAGAAATAAGATGCAAATAATCTGTAATTTAAATATACTCTAAGTAGAAAATAATGTGAGTATAAGATACAGGCTCAGGTCATAGAATCCAAGAAATGCAGAATGCACTGTTTGAAGGAGAGGTTGAGGATACAATTCCCCCCATGCGACCATATGGCAGGAGGAGATAAAGCACAGTAATTATAAATTTGAATTGTTTGGAAATAATCTAATCATCCCTCATTTGCAAGTATAAAAGATCTTATCAATTAACAGCATGGGTTCACATAAAAATGGTTACATCACATTCAAATACAAAAGATACTTTCTAATACAAACTTTTAAGAAACCCAAGACCAGAAATCTCCAATGTTTGTAGAAAAGCATAGTACTTTGTCAGATTTAAGTTTAAACTTTAGTTTACTTAATCATTTTAAGTTACTACTAAATATCTTGGTCTAATGGAAATTATTAGAAATGAAAGCCACAGAAATTCCTTGCATAAAAAGAAGAAAATAATCCATGGCACCATCACCTACCATTGTTTGTTTTTTCCTGAATTAAAAACTCTAAATGGCCAGATATGAACAAAAGTGATAATGTAATAAAAAATCAGATTTATATCCAGAGGGCTGGATGTAGAGGACAAATGCTTCCTTCAATTGTACAAACCAAGCCCTGGATAGGTTCATCTGGAACTCTGAGAGGCTAGGGGTAAAAGATAGTTATTTTACCCAAGTCCAGGGTTTCTGTTTGAAAAGGATCCTAAAATGACCTTGACTCATACTGTTAAGCTTTATCTTCTAAGCGAATAAATCTCACTTTCTTGAGGTCAAAATAAGAGATGGCACAATTTCACAGGTACATGGTAAGAAGGGAATGAGTCACCCTGAATTTTAACATAGAATTAAAAGAATTCAAACTTACGTCCCAGAGTTCATAGATTTCTTTTCCGAGGTCCTCTGATAGCAGCTGGGTCAGTTGTTGCATAGCTGTCTGAAAAAAAATAAGCCATTTCCATTTATCTATTTTCTGAACAACATTTTTACCAATGTATTTTCTGAATTATCTAGTTGTCACCAAGCTAGCAGAAACATCCACTACACAGCATATTACTGTATTGTTTTGACACAGCAAGGTTTGGCTACAGCTAAGTCCAAGGCAGTAGCACCTCTGGAAAAACATATTTAAGAAGGGAAATCCCTCTGCAACTCCACACAGAGGGAGGAGTGAGAAGTGAGAGAAAGGACTCTGCAGATACAAAACTTAGTGAAGGAGGAGGAGGAGGTGCTCCAGATGCCAGAGCAAATTCCCCTGCAGTCGGTGAGGAAGATCATGGTGAAGCAGCTGTGCCCCTGCAGCCCTACAGAGGAGCAGAGATCCACCTGCAGCCCCTGGAGGTCCATGGTGGAGCAGATATCCACCTGGGGCCCATGGAAGACATAAAGCAGGGGGATGTGCCCATTCCAAAGGAGGCTGTGACCCTGTAGGAAGCCTACAATGGAGCAGGCTCCTGGCAGAACTTGGGACACCAGAAATTGTTCTGCACACTCTTTGTGTCCTCCCAGCTGATCAGTCTCATTTCTGTACTATCTCTACTGTTTGCCCAGTAGGGCAAACATGAAGGGCTCTTCTGAAACAGCCAACATCACAGACATGATAAAGGTTTTGTGCCATGATTGTTTCTCCACTCCAAATACAGGATATAGTGTCATAATGTGGTTCCCCATTGCTTGTGACCACTGAAGCATCAAGGTCTCATTCCTTTTCACCTCCTTCCAGCTCTGGAACTCATCAGATTTCAAGGTTAGGTGGCTAAAATGACTTACCTAGAAAAAAACCCTACTCCAAACAAGCTCCCTCTTCCACAAAAAAACCCAAAACTTCTTTTTTAAATCAGGTTTATTTTCTGCTGCCTTACTGTTGGTGAGACTCACTGGTTAAAGTTACTGCACAAGCATCAAACTTCAGAGCCAGATCAATGTCGGCTTTAAAGCAACCATTAAAAAGGAGAACTCTGCAGTGGAAGCAGAGTATTGATAACTCACCTCAAGCCACCTCCTGAAGTGGCTACCCATGGTCTATTTTTACAAAGTATTTCAGAGTAGTCCCAAAAGTTTAATGCTTTACTCTCCTTCCCATAAAGTCAACGGAAAAGTCCTCACTGACTGAAATGGGAGCAGAAAGAGCTGAAAATACTTATGAATACTTCTTAAACGTACCTATGCATCAAAATACTTTTTCCTTGACTAAAGTCAAATGAGAATTCTATCTAGACCAAAGTTGAAGGCTGATCCTCAGGGCACAACAACCTTTAGAGGCTTCCAGAAAACACGTTTCTTCTGTTCAGTGTTTTGAAGCTCTCTGAAGAGTATAACAAATACTTCAGTTATTATTATCCCTCCCCTGCTTTTATGCTTATCTGGTTAAAACTAGGGGGGCCATGGTTAAAACTTGGGGGCCATGACAAACTCTAGGAGTAAGCCCTTTGCTAAGTGGAAATTGAAGAACTAGGGTGCATTTGGCATTCTTGAAGTACTGTCTTTACTGACTGTAATTTTAGTGTTTCTTTTTTTCAATATACTTCTTAGTGTGTTCTTACACTGAACAAAAAAAGGCTCTGAAGAGCTCCTGAGGCATGACATTGCCCTCTAGCTGTGGCTACGGAAATGGTTTACATTTTCTTTGAACAATGCCACAACCCAAAAACAACAAACCAACAGTTTGGATAAGTGCAAGGCCAAAAATAAAGTGACTCTATGCATGCTGCAATCAAAAAAATCACAACAACAACAAAAAAAAAGACACCTGCATCTGAGGTTCTGTGGAAAAATGAAGTCTCTGTCAATCTCACGATCACACACACAATCTGACATGAACTGTCATCCATCCTACTCAGTGCATCTACTCCCTGCTCTTCACCTCTTGGCAAGGCTGCTGAACGTGACTAATTCAGGCTACCTAAACTACAACTAGTTCAGAAAAACGTGAAGATTACTTCAAAGATCTTCCATAACTTTGTACTTGGTGATGTTACAGGTACAAAAATCACTGAAAACTCCACTTGGTTGTGTCAGGTTTGTCCAATGCCTACGACAGTATTATATTGCTTGGAGTGTTCCCTCACTACCATCAGAACACCAAAACACACAGAATGCTCTGCAGCTGTGGCTTCACACCTTATGTTCATACCTCTTCTCTTCTGTGTTTCTCCTCTTTTGGGATATTATCTGCAGGAGCAATATCTCCAACGATGCATTCAGCCATATCATGAACCAAAGCTAATCGTATGCATCTGACAAGGAGGGACAGAATAATTAGTTTTTCAGCATTTTAAATTGAAAACTTATGCAAAAGACTAAGAGACTGCAGAATTTAACCCCCTTTATATACTCCAAAGGTTGGCTGGAGCTTTTCTTAAACTTTATGTAACATTTTTTACTTTTTTACGGGGAGTATTTTCCACCTAGATATGATTTTGATTTCTTATTTCTAGTCCCTACTGCTTGTAAATGTAGATTTAAGTATAAATACACAGTGTACCAGTATATAATATTCAAAAGTAACATACTTAGCTTTTGTATACTTGGCTTTTGGAGATGCTGTAGTAATTAACTACATTATACACCTCACGTTATTCCTGAAACAGGTAGAAGGTAATCTGATTGGAGCATTCCCTAATTCAGTACATAATCTGTCACTGACAGCTCTGTAGCTATGCCAGTCTGCAGCAGAATACTCGAAGAATTCTTCATATCAGCTCCTAGAGCTTTGTCTGCTATGCTAGAGGATTTCTATGGTTTCTTACAGCTGCAGAGTGCTCCTTCAGCCTGTCAGAATCCACATGGTCTACAGCACTGACGTGGCTGTCTGTTGCTTCACATTGGTTTTTAGCCTGCCTATTTACTGCTTGAAAGAAGACCAGCTTTGAGCCTCTGCACTAAGGACTTGCCTCAACACTCACAGCTAAGCAATGAAGTTTTAGCCCCTTTCAATTGTGCAGGTAAACAGAACACAGTCCAAAGGATAGAGAGAAAAAAGGGGCAAGGATTTCAAATTCCTTCAGTGTGATTTAAAAGCTCTTACTTGGGACGACCGCTTCTTTTAGCGTTTTGTTTGCAGCTCTCCCGTTAACATTAACATCCGGTCCTGATAAGCAGAGGCAGTCTCACCTGTCCTTGTTAAGGCCTTTGTCCTCAGTCACCAAAGCCATCATCGCCATCCTGTACATATGGTCGGAGACGCTCTCTGGGTTTGCCACGTTCCTGTACACCCATCCTGTCCGCCGTACTCTCTGCGCCGTGCCACACAATCACAGAATCAGACAGGTTGGAAAAGTCCAACCTCTAGGGGGATGGATATCACCGTACCCACCAGACCATGGCACTGTAAAGGTTAAACCCCTTGGTTTTGCAGGCCCTCGTTTCAGAGACACCGGCAGAAATTCCGCCCCACCATGGCCTCCACGCTCCGGAGAGCTTTGATGCTCGCAGCGAACACCTGCCCCAAGGCCCAGCCGGCCCCCAAGGCTGTACCCGGCCAGGATCCCGGCCCGGCCGACAGCCGATGGGCCGGGACGCGGCGGCACCCACGAGTCCCCTCCGGGCCCCGCCGGGCCCGCTGCGCCGGCACCACGCGGGAGGAAGCTCCGGCTCACGCCGG